TCTCTCTCTCTCTCTCTCTCTCTCTCTCTCTCTTTCTCGTTGGCCTTTAAGAGGCGCTGAGAAGATAACGCAGAATCGGTTGAGTTTTAGTCAAACATCACAATCAGATCAATAAATGCAATGAAGAAGTGAACTAAAAACCTGATGTATAAAACACAACGAAAGTCGTCTCAGACTTAAAAATAGATAATAATATATGTATGAAAATGCATAGAATAATAATGCATTTAAAAATGTATTTATTAAATTTAGTTACAATTTTATTATTATTGTTAACACAATTAAGTTTATCTCATGAATCCATTGATAAATACTCCGTTGAATCGCCAGTTATTAATAGTTATGAAGATTTGAATATAATTAGTGCCAAAAATATTCAAAATACTGGCCAATCACTGCCAAAAGTTCCATTAAAAAAGATACACATCGGAGGTCTGTTCCCGATGAATGGCACTACGGGTTGGGTAGGAGGTCAGGGATGTCTTCCCGCCGCGCAAATGGCTCTCCAAGACGTTAATAGAGATCCCAATCTATTAATTGGTTATGAGTTAGACTTGAAATGGAATAATAGCGAGGTATGTTTCATTTATATTCAATTCATATAAATTAATGTACATTATTTAAAGAATATTCTGTAAAATGTATTGAATATTGAGAATATAGTAAAAGAATTTTGACAAATTCAATAAATACTAGTATTATTCATTGTACTGTAGTATGCATTAGTATTCGTGAATAATATTCATCGACATCTTTGCCCAATTTTATAAATCTATTTTTTATTAATGTTCATGAATATACAGTATTTTCTAACATACAGTACATTAGTAGCTAAATAAACATTTTATTTTTATATTTCACAATTTATTTTCTTTGCATTTAATAATATATTATTTTATATTTTTAAATAGTTTACTATTTATGTATAGAATTTAGAATTTATATTTTCAAATTTTACATTAATTGCCAATATAATATACTTTAAAACAAATAATTAAGACTAAAAATTGATGTCTGTATCCATTGCATACAGTGTGATCCAGGTCTGGCGGCCACTATATTATACGACCTTATATACCGACCCCCAAAAAAGACAATAATATTAGGGGGCTGTTCGATAGTGTGCTCCGGTATTGCAGAGACAGCCAAGATGTATAATTTAATAGTTGTTGGCTATGGCTCGTCATCACCAGCTCTATCCAATCGCCACCGATTCCCCACATTCTTCCGGACGCACCCGTCGGCCACAATCCACAACCCGACTCGAGTCAAACTATTCAAGAAGTTTCGGTGGTCTCGTATTTCCATTATATTAGAGGCCGAGGAGGTGTTCGTTACGGTATGTTTGCATCACAGATGTATGTATTTATCGTAAATGTGTTACAACTTTCCAAAGACTGGTAAAGACTTGGAGACGCGGTGTAAAGAGGCAGACATCGAGATCCTGACTCGAGTGTCATTCCTGGACGACCCGACAGAAGCGGTGAAGAGTCTGTCCCGACAGGGCGCCCGTATCATAATCGGCATGTTTTACAGCGCCAACGCCCGCAAAGTAATGTGTGAGGCGTACAAAGCGGGTCTGTATGGCAAACAATACGTATGGTTCCTGATTGGCTGGTATGAGGCCAATTGGTTTCATCCGGCGCCCGGCATTAACTGCACTATGGATGAGATGCTCAAAGTGGTTGAGTATCACTTCACCACCGAAGCACTTATGCTTAATCAGGGCTATCAACACACTATTGCAGGTACTGTCAACTCTGCACACAGTTTACGATCAATTCATTTCTTAATTGTTAAAATGATTGCAAAGGTATGACAGCCCAGGATTGGCTCAACAGATATGAGAGTGAATTAACACATTACCGGCAATACTTCCCAATGGGTTCCAACAAACCCCAGGAAGGCTATCAAGAGGCACCCCTGGCCTATGATGCCATTTGGGCCATTGCTTTGGCACTCAATAAGACAATGGAAATCCTATCGCAGAGAGGGCTTACATTAGACTCATTTGATTACGAGTCGCCAGAGATTACAAATATAATCAAAAGTGAGTTACAAAAAGTACAGTTTCTCGGAGTTTCCGGTTATGTGGCCTTCAATGACATCGGAGACCGAATCTCATGGACTTTGATCGAGCAGATGATTGCCGGCAAATACGAACAGTTGGGCTTTTATGACACCATAACCGACAACCTAACCTGGAATGACAGGGAAAAGTGGGTCATTCCCGGCAGACCACCAAAGGACAGGACAGAAGTGGTCCGTTCCCTACAGACTGTTAATAACGCGCTCTTCATATCGTTGAGTGGCATCAGTGCTATCGGTGTTCTTATGGCTGTTTCGCTCATTTGCTTCAATCATAAATTCAATACTTGTCGGTCAGTATCCACACAAATATTTCATATATTTTTACCATTAATTTGTATATGAAATGTATTTCACAGTTATATCCAAATGTCAAACCCGGCGTCAAATAACCTGATGCTTATCGGATGTGTTCTCTGTTTCATATCTGTTGTTCTGTTCGGTTTGGACGGACAGGACGTCGGAGGTCTTCATAATTTTATAATTGTTTGTAATGTATGTATAAAACGCTTAGAAAGTGATATGAGATTTAATTGAGTGATTTGATTGACGAAAGGCGCGTGCATTTTGTCTTTCAATCGGGTTCTCCCTGTTCTTCGGCGCCATGTTTGCTAAGATATGGTACTGTCATCTCCTCCACACACAAAGCAAAAGAAAAGTATATATTTTATGTTCAGTTGATTCACTTTAATTAATACTTGTTATCGTTTTTGCAGAAAATAAATAATAATCACATTTATATAATGATATTAACATTTTGCTCAATCGACTTAATAATACTAAGCATTTGGTACTTCAAAGATCCCATTAAACTGAACGTCAAAACATTTCCACTTTTAAACCCCGATATTAATATCGATGAAGACATAAAAGTAAATAATTTTCTTTTATTTAAAACATAAAAGTCAAAAATTACTCAAATATTATGCCGATTCAGATCCAGCCGTGTATAGAGCACTGTGAGGCCAACTTCATATGGTATGGTATCTTATTTGGTTACAAAGGGCTTCTTCTACTCTTCGGACTATTCCTGTCATATGAGACCCGAAGTGTAAAACTTAAACAACTCAATGACTCCCGACTCGTGGGAATGAGTATCTATAATGTTGTCGTAAGTATTGTAGTAATTTATATTGAACTTTTATCTATTCAGTATTCAGAAACAATAAATTATTCTACTCCCTTCAATTCTTAAATTTATTTATTTATCACATTTGCACAGATCTTATGCCTCATAACAGGGCCGGTATCTCAAGTGATTGAGGATCAAGTGAACGCACACTTTGCGTTCATAGCGTTAGCAATAATATTCTGCTGTTTTTTGACAATGGCTTTGGTTTTTGTTCCTAAAATCGTTGAATTGGTTCGCCGACGGAATGGTCCTAATAGTGGTAAACTAATACTCATTTCAATATAATTACTAAATTGCAGTTAATGTCAAACATAGGACTGAATGGCAGCGGAATTAACGGCACATTTCACGAGACAATGACCAGTCGTGAAGAAGAGGAGCGCTTTAATAGAATAACACTCGAGAACCAGGAGTTAAAGGAGAAGATATTTGAGAAGGAGAGACAGATCGAGGAGATTAAGAGTAAAATAGAGCTGATGGCCAAAGAGCAACAGGAGCTGAGGAAGAGTGAGGAAAGCAAACAGCAATGCGTGAAACGGAAAGCCGTCAGAATCCAAGAGCCGGACGCACAGGAAGATGAGGTTATCGAGCAGTTGAATACTCTGAATGTGGATCCCGTCAGCGATTCCGGGTTTGTCTCCAACCGCAACAGTCGGCCCTCGGATTTCGAGTTTAGTGAATCTTATTTATGAATACAATGTTTGTTTCATACGGTTTTACAAAACCAACCTAACATTTCTTATATAAATATGTTTCGTGTAAAATATATATTCGTTTTAGACATCATATATGAGTCTTATTTGTAAAATAATAACATACTATTGAAAAATACGACTTCAAAGTTTATTATCATAAATTCAATCATATCATGAATTGTCAAAAGTCTGCCATTTAATTTTTACGCACATTTGTTAATTAAAAATAATTTTCATCTCAAATTTTGTCTCATTTTTATCGACATTTTCTACTGTTTTCAAGTCTTTGATTAATACTTCATTGTCTTTTAATTCCTGTTTCTAAAAATAGTTAGAAATTCAGAGAAAAATGATTGTAATATAAATGAACTGTTGAATTATTAAGAATTATCAAACACTAGACACACTAATTACCATTACAGGTATAGAGCGTTGGAAAAGTTCAGCTAGTACAGCACAGTACTGGAAATTGTGTTTTGAGCAATATCTATAATATAGTCTTGAAAAATAAAAATTAATTTCAAGAGTGATAAAAGGAAACCTTTAGCTTTACCTCTCATTTGCTGCAAAATGTTTTTCACTGGAATTGATAAAACATTCATATTATCTGGAAATCTATTTATAATCTTAAATAATAGTATTGAGTGAATACGAGAGCGAATAAAATTGAGAAATTCATATCTATTCGTGTCTTATATTGATTTGAAGCACAAATCAATACATTTCTTTAAAAAACGATAGATTTGCACAACGAATGAGTTTAAGAGCCTAAGTATGTGTGGGAAGTGCTTAAGTGATAGTCAATGTCTGTATTGAATATTATACTCTATATTATCCATATATGCAAATTGTTTGTGTTTTGTTACATGTATCTCTTTTTCTTGTTTATTAGGCACCGACTGTAGTGAAGCACCTGTATCTGTACAATAGTGTACTGTTCAGTAGCACATATAGGAATTGAATACCGAAGCACACTGTCTGTCCTCTTATGTTATAATTCAATGCAATTCTAGTGACAAATCACATGGTCTTCACTGTTAGGTGATGTGAGTCTCACAACAGTTCATATAATTTGAAAAACTTATTTTTAATACATTTGTTTCATTACATGTCAGCAAATTATTTGTAAATACAATTTTATGAACAAAAACGTACTATCATTACATTTGGCATATAAATAAATTTATTGTAATCAATTAAATAAACGATATGTTATAAAAGTGACTCTAAAGGCGCTGTACTTTACAATTAAATTTCATGTAATTCTGCGTTCAAATCAATAATAATGAGAGAATTTGTGAAGAAATCTGTTGAGAAAACAGTGATTGCGTCCACATATCAAAGGCTCACTTACCATTGATTATCACTAACTGTGTCTTAGCTATATTAATAAAACTCACTCCATTATACAGCTTTAGCTTGGTAAGTAATTGTTATCCAGGTCCGGTTTCCTAACGAAAAGTGGTTTGTCTAAT